GGGATGTAGCTCTGAGTGAGATGGAAGGTAACAGAGAACCTGGAGTCAGAGGTGCAGTATGAGCTGACTCATGGGAGGATCACTGGCAGTGACACTGAGAAGAGGGCAGGGGACCTGGGACAGAATGAGGACTTGTCTACTCTGCCAGGAGGCAGCTCCAGCAGTCCAGCAAGGGCACGAGATTCCGCTGAGGCAGCAGCAGTAGTGGGGACAGCTGGATGCTCGATGTCTTTAAAAGCCTGAGCCAATAATGATTTTCAGTTATTTGCATGTAGGATGTGAAGCTCACTCCAAGGGCATCCCCAATAGTATAAATAAAATACCTGACTCATAACAGAAGCTCAAATAACCAGGTACTAGTAATCATCATTGTAACTATAACCAAACACAGCACCTCGACTGACAGCCTGGTGAAACACGTCTGCATCCTGACTTAGGTTCAGCTTACAGCACAAGCTGCAGACAGCTGCTGAAATCGCATTCTTATCTCAAGAGGGGTAATTGCTGATAAACAGTGCAGTGAGGACCATGGTTTCAGTGGTCTGTTTTTATCCTCCAGTGTTTCCACTGCATCAGTAGGATAACCTCTACAATCTAGCTAGATACTGATGCAGATGTACATTCAGGTTGACTCAGTTACACGCTAACTGCCTGCAGTATAAGACATTGTACAAGTATATATTAAAGTAATAGAACTTGAAGATGTATAGGCATACAGGCAAACAGGGTTTCATCTCATGTCTAGCTTCTATCTCTAACAGCATATCCTAAGCCAGTCTCCTGGTACCTCACCTCTATGCCTAGAGAGGTCCCCAGTCCAGTAAACGTGATTCCATTCTTCTCCAGGCTTGGGTCAAAATCACATAGTTATTCTTGATTCTTTTTCCTTTCATACCCTTTACCAACCTGGCAGTCAGTTCTCTAGACTCTACCCCCAAAATAACACCCAGGATTTACTGGAAAGAGAAGAACACCTCCATTTCATCCTTACACCCAAGTTGAGAAGTAGTATGGTTTGAATGGGTTGTTTCAGCCATGATGGGTACAGGGAATTTATCTTTTCAACAAATACTTCTTGAGTAGCTACTTTGTGGCAGGTGCTAGGTATCGAGGAACAAAGCAATGAAAAAAAAGTAGATAAAATCTCTGCTCAAGGATTTTGTAGATTAGAGAGAAGCCAGACAGTAAGTCAACATCTAATACGATGAGTGTCAATAAGTCCAGTGTAGACAAATTAAGCAAGACAGGGAGTCCTTCCTGGGAGGTCCAGCATTTTTATAGAGGAGTCAGAGAAGGCCTTACTGCTAAGTGACCTTTGAGCAGAGAGTTAAGGAACATGAGAGGAAGTGACCCACATCCTGGGCCTCATTGGCCATTGTAAGGACTTTCACCCTAGGTGGATGGGACCTGGTGGGAGACGTAGGGGCAGAGACATGACATGAATGGGCCTCTGTTTTAAAAGCATCACTGGGGCTTTTGTGAGCTGCGGGGTGAAGTTTGTGTGTGTGAAAGGAGGCTTTAGGCAGAAGAACCCAGGCTTCAGGAAGGAACTGTGGGGTAGAGCTGAGAGCCTTGCAGGCCACAACCATGGGCACAGGGGGAGCCACTGAAGGGTGAATTCAGAAGGGATGTCATTGGGTGCCTGTGGACCATTATGTTTCTGGATTAGTTGAGGGTAAAGGTGACCGAAGGCTTGCATAGAAAAAGAGAAAAAATCCTAGCTATGAATAAGAATACTTACTCACATATAGCATAGATCCTAAATATTTGTGAAGTCCAAAATCCTTGAGAATCCAGTACAGTGACGGGGCCCTTACTCAGAAAACATGCATGTATGTTTTTATAGAGAAAACCCGACATACACCTTCATGCATTGCTGTATCTCCTGAGGCCCTTCTGGGTAAGAAATCCTGATGCTCAGTGTTCTGCTTCCAATAGATACTCACATCTGTTACCTTTAAACAGCTGAAGAATTAAGAAAGGACTGTGCTGACTTAAATTCATTTATTTGCAAATTGACCATGAGATTTATTGAAACCACACAGAATGCTGCAGCTGGGCCCTAAATCCAGGTCCTGACTCCCAGTAAATTAGGCTCATTGCTCCCCAGAGTAACACGCCTGGACCAGCAGCAGGAGCCCCGGGGTGCTTGCCAGAAGAATAAATCTCAGTCCTCACCCTAGAGCTCCTGAAGCAGAACCCGTGGTTTGACGAGACCCTCAGGGGACCCCTATGCTCTGCTCTAGGATACTTCCTGGGAGGCAAAGTGGTAGCTCTTGGGTGACTTGGGAGGATCAGACATTAATTTTCTAAACATCCATTTTCCCCGCACCCGTTCACATTTGGTTAGTGGTTACGGTCCCTGGAGGTGTCTCAGTCCTGCTCCCCCCACCCTCCTACCAGAGTCATAATGTAAAATGGTAAAACCCACTCAGAGGCACAAGGCGAGTCAACCCAACGTCTTTGTTCTGTAGACCCTCACCTTAAGCAAAAGGCCCAGAACCTATCCTAACATGCTAACTGTGTTTTCTCATCTTAGAGGACCCATCCTGTGTAGATTTCTTCGGCTGGTGTCATCTCGTTCCTCAGCACGGTGTCTGCAACCACAAATTTTACGGTAAACAGTGCTGCAAGTCATGCACGAGGAAGAGCTGATGTTGGTGCCCTTGTAGCCCCAAAGGGCCGGGGTCTTACCGCTCCTCCTTGGGAGAGACCAGGCAGCTTTCCATCACAAGCTGAACATCTGCGAACCACTTGTGAGCTGACCGCAGCGTTGGGGGAACCCGCTCTCAAGAATAGACATGCTCCTTATTCAGTTCCCTAAAGCACATGGTACTCAGAAGCACTTGAAGATGGCAAGCGATGACCAATCTGACTTACAAAAGACACAGAAAGAAACAAAAACAGAACAGCTTTGATTTGCACTGTTACACAGAAGAAGTATGACCCCCAATGAGATAGAACAAATTTTAATTTTGACAAAGTGAGACTCTCATCAACCTGGGGACAGACCCCCACCCCACCCACCATGAACTTCAGAGGGTTCAATGACAAAGACATCTGTTTTGAAAAGGTTCTTGAAGACTTCGAGTCAAAGACTGAGACTTGGAGCAATCAAGTTTGGACGGAACACGCTACCTAACTATTCCTTGGAGCTCAGTTTGACTGCAGCTGTGGACACCCCAAACCAGGAGTTACACAGTCACCACAGGGTGCTCGTGATTGCGCTTGCTGCTGGTCTAGCAAGCTCTGTGTTCTGTTTATTTGGTGTGTGTGTGTGTTGTTTTGTTATTTTGTTTAAAATATGTTTTGCTTATAGAGAGTCTCCAAGACTAAAATTCACAACTTGAAAAGTGTTCCAAGGAATATTCTCAAAATAGGGCAATATGGACCAGTTAAGATCTCCATTTAATTGAAATACACACTCTGGAAAAAAAAAGCCCACAAAACTCATATAAAAGGCAAATTTTGTTGCCCTACACACTATCAACCTCGTCACTCTTGGTGCTAGCCGAACTGGTAACCAGGAGCCTCACGTCTGCTCCTCGGGAATCAGAATTGGTGAGATGTTCATTTCTGGTAAAAACATAAAAGGAGCTAAATGACAAAATAGCCCTGCTTTGAAGGAGAGGAGACCACTATTTGTGCAATGCGCCCTACATAATATCAGAGATGCTTGGAAAATTAAAGGCCTCTTGTGGTTTTTTCCTACCAACTGACATGTTTAAATTTGCCCTAGGATTTAGTTAACAAGGAAAAAGTCACAGTGGCAAGAGGAAAATCCATCTGTCTTCTCGCTATGTGAATATTAATAAATCATAATATGCCAAGAGCCTTCAATGAATAAGAGTATTTTATAATCTTTCAGATGATATTTTCAGTCTTCAGAAGCCTGCTGTTGGTAGGTACTTAATGAGCTTAAAATTGTTCTCAATTGGAAAAATACCACACTGTTTTGCCAAAACCAAAGTAACTTACAAGACTGTGTCCTTCTGTGATTTTTTGAGCTGTGGTTATAAAGGGCATACTTACATAATCCTACTCTGTTCCTCAATTTCTTTGATGAATGTAACCCAATTTTATTGCTTTAAGAAGTCTCAATTCAAACAGGGATTTGCCAGCTCAGCACAACCAACTAGACAGTGGTTTGTTAAAGTTAGAACATCCTTTGTTCCATTCTAATTAATATCATGCATTCTGGAATCTCAGAGAAATAATGGTGAGAATAGTCTCTCAATCTACATGGCGTGGCCTAGAGTAGTGGCCATTTTATCATTAAAAAAAAAAACTTCCACCCCCCATGCCCTCTGAAAAACTGCAAGTTCTTTGTTTCTTTATATAATTATCATTATTTTATGGACAAATTAATTTATTAATAGCCTATTCCTATGTGTTCTCACTTGCTTCTCTGAGTAAGTGATATTAATTCTGAGGAAAAATGTTGGATAAAACCCTGGGTTATAGAGAAAAGTCAAAAATATATGTGTAATATTTAATTATTTTATAAGTTTTATAATAAAGCGTTCTGTTTCTTTGTCTTTGAAACTTGTTAAGTTCTTGGATAAATTAGCAAGAAGCCAGTTATTTCCAAGATGATTTAACTGTATAAATGTTTGATTAAGAATCTGAGAGAGTAATTTCTCAGAAAGTTGTGAAAAGGTTGGGGGGGAAGTATTAACACTTTTTCTTCTTTGTGTATGAGAAAATTAGAAACCATCAAATGCTGAGATGAAATAGATGACATTTCCCATCTGATGGAGACAATGAGTTTTTTTTTTTTTCTACTCTGATGTAATCATTTATTTATGGAAATCATCCAAGTTAGTTAGATAAACCTGCCATATACATAGTTGGTCTTCTCTTTTTTTTCTCCTTGAAAATCCTTTTGCAGAAAGAAGGGAGGGGTAGGAGAGGAGGGAGGAAGGGGGAAAAAAAACCCTAAGTAATAAATTAAAAAGCAAATTGCTTTCAATCTTCAGAGGAAAAGAAGAACTATTGGGCAAAGTCAATCCAAATGACATGAATATAAGGATTTTCCCCTGCATATGTGAGATATATATATACACACACACACATAAGTGTATACATTTATATACACACACTTGTATGTGTATAAATATATATAATTTATACACAGATATCTTTAAAATATATTTAAGAGGATTTTTAAGTGAATCATTGCTATTTGGCAACCATAAAAAAAGAAATTGTGATTAATAATGAAAAATGGAATAGATGGGGGAAAAAAGGTACCTTTCTACCTTTCGGTAATAAAATATTAATAAGAACAATCTATACTCGTGTTTGGTGGGTGCCAGGTACTGTACTAAGCCCCTTTTGTACATTATCTCATTTAATCCTAGTTAGGAAGACACTATCTTCCTCCAGCAGGAACAGCCCCTGGCCCGGTTCACAGCCTAGTTAGGAAGACACTATCATCTTCCCTTTGCAGATGAGGGCTCTGGGATTGAGAGAGATCACATATCTGGCCCAAAGGCACATGGTCATGGAGTGATGGGTCAAGACTCATAGCCAGGTCTGTCGGACTTAAAGGGGTACTGGCTTGTCACTGTGTTGCATCACTCTGGGAAAGATTTGAGAGAGAGAGAGAGACAGAGCGCGAGCACGCGCCATCGAGGCCTTAGACCTCTCTGTGACCCTACAGGGTTTGGCAATAAATGATTTAACAATGAAGAATTATGGGCAGAGCTGGGATGACTTAAGATGGGGAATCGGGGATGGGAGGTCATACAGTCCCATTTAGCCTATCTTTTCAATAAAGGATACTGAAAGACTTGCTGCATAACCAAGTGTCTTTATTCCCTAATAACTGCTTCTCTCTGGGATGGTGGTGTTTCCTGAGCAATAGGACCTCAGCGTGGGGAGCCTGCAATGCCAGGTCCATTAGGATGATGAACACTGCTCTTGGCGTGGGTTCCACATGCTAACTGTAGGGAAGGATGAACTCACAGCAGCAGGTATCATGCAAGAAATGGTTTATGGAAGTACCAGCACAGAACCCATTATTGCTAAATGGGATCCAGAAAAGGTCACTCATGTGCTATATGTATCTGTATACATATTTGTACACAATTTGGTCTGCCTTACCTTATCTTTCTCATAAGATCTTAAGTCTTCAGCACCTCTGTGGTTGCCAGTGATGCTGAGTGAGGATCTGAACACCTGAAGTAACGTTTCATCAGTCATCCCTGGGTCAGAGTGTTGTACCTTCCTCCTCCAGAAAGGACCACAAGAGGAATTGATTCTTGAACTTCTGTCATTCATTTACTATAATCTTGAGTTTCCCTGTAAGCACGAAACACAACTACTGAAGTTTTAATTTAAATGTGTCTGTTTAACTAAAAATGATGTGATCTAAAGAAAATATTGTCTAAAAAGCAAACGTTTTATAACTTATAAATGGAAAAATCAATTTTATTTGCCATAGAGAGAAAATCAAATAAAAGCCCACTAAATAATATTAACATTTAAATTACTTTTAATTAAAATATAGTCACTATAATTGGTTTACAGAATTCATATCTAAAAAAAATTTATCATTGAGAATAAGTGAACGTTTCATAGCTCCTCAGGAATATTCAGTTTAGCAGCACTAAACTTAAGAAAATCTTCTGTCAATAAGATTTTTGTCTAATATCCTAATTCATATTTGTACATAGAAAAGGCAAGTTATATCCATTTAATTGTACCTATGCTGATAGAGTTAGTGAGAATTATAAGTGATTTTGTTCGACAAATTTTTGTGTATAGAGAAGCCATCAGGAGCAATATCCAAAATGCATTTTTCTAAATGTAGCTGGTGACTTGTAGCTCTTGCAAAGCAATGGCAATTTGCTCTACCCATGCAGATAACCAGCATCCCGTCTGAACGTTCTGAAGAGTTTGCAAATACTTGCAAAGTATTTCTAAGTGTTTTTCTAAACTCTATTTCGAAAGAGACACAATTGAATTCATAATCGGGTCATTCAGTGAACAAAAAGTAATTTATATAATGGTTGGTTGGTTGAAGGGACAAACGAGGTTTAAGGATCGTTCCCAGCATCCTAAGTGGGATGAGAAAGATGCCCCAATGTCTAGGAAAAGGAAATCCTGTAAGCCACTTCTCCCCAGCCCTTCTGTTTCTCTCTACCCCTCTTCTCTTCTTCCTTACATCACCTTGGCTTGCTGATTTAGGCTGCCTCTGCCCCATACAGGTTAGGACATGACCTGACATGACCTCGTGTTGCAGCCCAAAGCCCAAACGCCATGCTGGAAAGCGCTACTCTAAACGACCACTTGGTAGACCTGAATCCTCCATCCCCGTGGCTAACAGACTTTCTAAAACTGGTGTGCAGTACACAGAGTGGCACTTCCGCTGTGTTAACAATCAGAGCCCTGGAGGAGATGGCCTTTGAAGGTGAACCAGAGCCAGGGGCTGTTCCTGCTGGAGACAAGGCCCAGACACGTTTCTTCCTCTGCCGCCTGCTCTCTCCTTTCATGTGGTGGAGCACAGGAAGGAGGGGGCAGCCCCACTGGCAGAAGGCCTAACTCGTCTACCATTCCATGCAGAGTCCCCTTCCATGTACTATGGGCCTGAGTGTATCCCATTTCTTGGACGGGGGTCCTCTCTCCCCTGCCCTAAACCCTTTGAAAGCCATGTTGGATCTAGAGTAAGTTTCAGGACCATAGTTTCTAAATGATTATCTACATTAATCATCACCTAAGGATATTTTACACCTAAACTTCCCAGGCCTTATTCCTGAAATTTAATTAAGTAACCTGGGGCTAAGGCATTTATATTTTAAAAGGCATTCAAGTTTCTCTGCTGAACAAGCCAGTTTTAGAACCACTGGTCTAGGACAAAGACGTGCCTTGGATCTGTCTGCATTGTGCAGATAAAGCAGTTCCCTTGGCACCGCGCCCTCCAGGGCAGCTCTGCAGTGGGGTCTGGGCCAAACCCAGCCAATACTGAAGGGGCCTTGGCCTATTCTCATTCTCTGTGTGTCTGTCTCATCTGGGAGGCTCTTGTGATGGTAAATGATGGGTCAAGAAAGGGAATCACAGGCAGGGACCAGTTCCCTGCTCACCCTTCTCGTTGTGTTCCCAAGCACGTCAGTAGCCTACAGTGGGGTTTGGTGGGCTGTGGAACAGCAGTCTTGAGGGAAACTGGCCACTCCTCCAGTCAAGCACTCACATGCAAGAGCTTGTGTACTCTGTGTTTGTGTGTGTGTGTGTGTGTTTAAAAGGGCATACAAGAGAGAAGCCAGTGAAGTCTCCATTGGCAAATCACTCAGAGGGCTTCTTGTGCACGCACAGAAACCCACAGAGCATGAACCCAGTTGTATTCCTGAGATCCAGAGTCAAGGCAGAATGAAGACTTCTGTCCTATTTCCTGCCTGGTCCTTAGGTGCCAAGTGGTAAATCCATCACTTTTATGCATTAAGCCAACTGTCACTTCCTTACAAATTAAGTTGCCGAAAATGCACTGGCTGATTCGACAGAGTGAAAATGGTCAACGTGAGCTTTTGTTCAACAGAAGACAAAAGAAATAACATATTTCATAATAGAGGGGAGAGCAGCTAGCACTGTTTTGGGCCTCTGATTTTTCTTCCTTAATGGCTAATTTTATTCATTTATAAGTTTTTGTTTTTAAGAATTGGTTCCAGATATTTTAAATGAACAAGACTGTCTACTTATGTATCTACATGCTTTTAAAGCAAGAAAGGAACAACTGTCATCATAGTCAGCGGGTTTCTGCCTTCGTTGTGATGCCCCCACTTTCCAGAGCTTTTATCACTTGCAGCCAGGTTTGCTGAGGAGGGAAGCTGTTCATTCTCATGGGGGTTACTGTTTGTTTTCATGCTAAAAGTCTCTCTGACATACCGTCACATCTCTGTCTGCCTGAACTTTTTTTCTGCAATTTTTGCTTTCTAAAATATATTCATTCTTTCAAAAACATTTATTGAGCAACTACTGCAAAGTGAAATCTAAGCATAGAAACAGATCTGATTGCTGACCTAAAGGGACTGATTCTTGAAAACATGGGACACTCGACCACACAGCAATCAGGCAATGGTCCAAGGTCACAGAGTCCTGAGATGTTTTTAAGAGTTCTTCACTTTCACATTCACCCCGCTCAACATTTGATAATGCTTGGTTTTAGACAGTATTATTAGCAATAGCACAGAATGTAAATCAGGATCTTGCAGACTGCCGATGTGGAGGTGGGGGGTTTAAGTAAAATCACCCAATTATAATTAAGCAGAGAGTAGCTCACTTGCAAATGGATGTATAGAAATTAGGAAGTGGGATAGAATTTAGTTATCATTTTATTCTCCCTCCCTCATAAATGTAGAAACTAAGGCTCAAATATTTGAGGGCCTTCCCTAAAATTACCCAGTGAGTTAATGGTAAGTGTAGGTGTAAAGTCAGATACAGTGAGAAGAACACTTGCATGAAAATTACTGTATTATAAAATACATGATTTTTCATTTGATAAGCAAACGCTTCTATGGACAATTACTCTGAAGACTTCAGACAATTTTAATGAGTAGTGAGTTTCAAATAGAAATCTAATAAGAAACAATGCTGAGTTTATATGGTATCTATGATATTAAGTTCCCCTTTCCCCAGAGAAATACTCTGGGACCAGAAGAAGCATAATGATGATGTCACCTTCCTCTATGTAGGGCAAAGGTGATCTCATTAAAGTACCAATTTTTAAAAATATCTGACCCATTTCCTTTCCAAAAGGATGGTATCTTTAGGGAACTGAGCTAATGCTTTCAGCCATGACTAGGGAAGGATGCTGAAGGTCAGAAAACCCTGTAAATATACTAAAATACATTAGATTGGACCTTTTAAATGGATGGATTTTATGGCATGTAGATCATATCTCTTTATTGCAATGCAAAGTTCTGTTTAA